TGATATTACTCAGTGTCATCATTTTTCGTTGCAATTAGATGAGTCAACAGATACGGCCGGTCATGCGCAAGTAATAGTTTTCGTTCGTTTTTCGTTACCGAATATGTCTATTGTAGAAGAAATGCTGACACTTTTTCCGATTAAAAAACACGCGTCGGGAGAAGAAATTTACAAAGCGTTCAAAGATGAACTCATTCTGGCGAAATTACCTTTACAAAAATTAGTTTCGATTGCAACCGACGGGGCTGCAAATATGACCGGAAAATTGAAAGGTTTTCTCACTCGGTGCGGTAATGACCCAGATTTCCCACTGTTTAAATCAATTCATTGCATGTTACATAGATTAGCTCTTTGCATGAAAAAAATTTCTATCGACGAGGTTTTGAATTTAGTGGTCAAAATTGTGAACTCAATTCTGGCGAAACCGCTGGCCAAGCGACTTTATGAAGAATTTAAAAAAGTAAATGAATTAGATGCGCGAAATTTAGTTTATTATACCGAAGTTAGGTGGTTGAGTAAAGGAGTGATGCTTGAACGATTTTTTGAGAATTTACCGGGAATTATTAGTTTTGTTAAAGAAGAATTCGATCGCGAGTATGAAGAATTGAACAATTTCGAGTGACTCACACAATTAGCTTATCTTGTTGATTTGACTAAACTTGTTAATAATATTAATCTCCGAATGCAGGGCAATGAAAAATTTTTGTGGGATCACGTGCAGGCAGTAACAGCCTTAAGAACGTTAATCAAAAGAATTCAGGGCAATTTTAATAAAAATTCAGTTCCGTCCATGTTCACCGCGTTAGAATCAATAGTAAAAAGATCCGGCAACACATCGTTTAATGGCCAGCCTTTCGCGGAATTGACGCAGCAATTATATGAAGATTTAAATAAACGGTTCCCTGATATGGACGATTTGCAGTACTTGTGCCAGTTTTTCCAGGCTCCTGAAGCGTGTATGTACGATCTTGAACGTTTAGAAAGCACAATTGTTAATTTTACTTGCGTCAACGGGGTACTGCTTTCAGCTGAAATGGAAAAATTCATTACTTTTGATTTACCTTCCTGCAGTTCGGATGAATTGTGGAAGATAATTATCGACAATAATGATTTTCTACACCTCACGGAAGCGTACAAACGAACGCGTGTTGTTTTCGGAACAACTTATCTTTGTGAATCCGGTTTTTCACATATGAATCGAATTAAAACCTCCGGTAGGTCGGCATTAGGCGATGAGAACCTCAGAGAAGCTATGCTTGTGAGTCTCAGTAATTACAAACCTCATTTCAAAAAAATTGTAGAGTCCATGCAAGTTCAACGATCGCATTAGAGTTTTATGATTAGACAGTTTTTATTGTGACTTCGTCGATAGATATTTTGCCTTATATTGAATTTGACAATTCATAACAGCATCGCATTAATGGGAGATTCTCCACGAATCTGGCATTTGTACGATTGTTGATATGGAACTATTGTAAATATATTAGTAATAAGAATGATTTAGGCTTAAATTTTTCCCTATTTCCTTCACCTTCCATTCCTTCCCATTACCCATGATGGAAGACGTCTACCACCTTCCCGCGGTTTCCATTGAGCAACATTCCATAATGTTGGCCAAGAGTAGACACTTGATTAAAAAATATATTTTTTTTTTGTATATCAAATGTGTAATTTTTTTCAACAATTTCCTAGTCCCACGTTCTAGCATTTCATCGAAATCACAAGGCATACGGTATGGCTCACCAGAGAAATAATGAGAAAATTTTCAGTAGTAATACCCCAAAACCATGAAAATTATCGGATATTTCCCGAGAGTTTCGTTTCGTCGCGCTTCGCGCTCAGGATTTTTAACCTGCGAAACTTATCCTTCTCGTTGCTACACAACGAAACTCTCGGGAAATATCCGATTAATTTTCAAGATCGAGGGGGACTTGGCTGGATTTTTTTTTCATTCCAATTTCAAGCAATTAAATGTGTGGCATTTCATATGGTAACAGTAAAACGATT